ATTTAGTAACCTATTACCCTGTTGTGGTTAGGATATATCTCTAGTATTGCACTAGTAGAAAATTCATCATTTAATTAAGCGTTTCTCATTTTGAAACCATTAACTATACTTTTGAAGTCCCTTATTGTTATTAGACGACTATACAGTCCTCTTGTAGTATACTTGTAGGACAAATTACTTTATATTGAGTCAATTCAAATAATCACTATTTCACTTATAAATTCAAAATAGTAATTAAAATAAGAAAAAATGGAAGTAATATACTCCAATCTGAAAATATTGCAAAATCAAATTGCAAATACCTTTTCCAATTTTAAAAATTTAGGCCAGTCTAAAATGCTAGCTGGTCATAGTAGGGCAAGATTACAGCAAATGAATGAAAGATTTAAACAGTTCAAGATAATGAAAATTTCAAAGAAAATAAAATATTAGATTCAAAGGATGTATCTGTTAGTCACGATTACTTTAAACATGACCTCTTTGATAATGTAGAAGAGAACTATTATAATAATTTAGATGAGTTTAATGAATTTTTAATCCTTTTAAATACATCTGTGGGTTAAAGCCACCACAACCAATCCTTTAATAGTAATAATTCTGTTAGTTTTCAAAGTTTACCTACCATAGAAATACCCACCTTCTCTGGCAAATATAAAGAGTGGTCTAACTTTAGAGATATATTCAAGGCAATTATTCATAGTAAGGCTGACTTATTACCAGTGCTAAAACATCAATATCTGAGATCTTATCTGAAAGATAAGGCAGCTGATCTCATAAAAAACATTCCTTTAGCTGGGGAAAGCTACCCACAAGCATGGAATACYATTCTAGATTACTATGATAATAAGCGTAGGTTGGTCACTGAATATGTTAAAACAATTGTTACTGCTGCGAAAATGAGTAACAGTTCTTCTTCATCCTTGAAAAAACTTATGAAAGAAACAATTAGGCCCCTCGATACCTTAAGAAGTATGGGTAGAGATGGGTATACAGATGTTGTCATAGGATTTATAACTCGTAAATTTGATTTTTACACATCTAGAGAATGGCAAAGGTATTTAGGCTGTTCAACTGAAGCTCCTAGTATGGATAAATTGAGAAGCTTTTTTTCCTCTCAGATTATTACGTTAGAATCCTTTACCCAAAAGCCACCTATTAAAAATAAAAATGTAAAGGAAACTATTTCTAAATCAACAAAAGAAGCTAGTGTCAAATCAGCTCATCAAACTAATGTAAAACCCGGTACTTCTTGTACATACTGCAAAGGGAGTCATTTTATCTCTAAATGTCCTGACTATTTAACATTAAGTTAGACTAATAAAAAGGAATTTGTAGGGAAAGCCAAGCTTTGTATTAATAGTCTTGAGAATCATCCAAGCAAGATGCGTAAATCTAAATACACTTGCTTCAACTGTAAAAAGATGCACCACACTGTTATGCATAGGGATAAGGATATTGCACGGACTATTGCAAGGACTACCAATAAGGAGTCTGAATGCATTTCACCTGAAGTAAAGCAACCAATTGACAAATCAAGTTTAAATATATATACTACTCAGATCAATAGTCGTCACTCAGTTTTGTTAGCTACAGCTAGAATTTTTGTTTATACCAAGTCTGGTAAGCCAATAGTAGTTTTTGCATTGATAGACCCTTGTTCTCAAACATTAGTAATTTCAAGATCCTTAACTCAATTGCTTCAATAAAAACAGAATAAGGTCTGTATTAAACTTACAGGTGTAGGTGAAAAGATTATGTCTGAAGTGACTAGTGCTGTTGACTTTACTTTAAAGCCTTACTTTTAATCAGATTTTTTGTTTAAAATTAATGCACTGATGGTAAATAAATTCTCAGCTTATTGTCCACCTGATCATTGTTATTACATTTATAATTATATACATACATTGAATAATCTTCAACTAGCTGATCCAGAGTTTTACAAATCTGATCAAATTGACTTATTGTTAAGTGCTTCGGCCCATGCCTTGATAATACAAGATCAAGTGCTTAAGTTAGGCATAAATATGCCTATCGCTTCAAAATCCTCATTAGGGTGGTTATTATCTGGACCTGTCAGCTCCAATACCGATAATAACAAGACAGGTACTGTAACAAGTCTTCATATTACCGAGGTAGTACCACTTAACGAGTTAGTGAAACAATTTTGGGAAGTAGAGGAAATTCCAAATCCTTCAGAATACTTAACTAATGAGGAAAAGGGGTGTAAAAAAATCTTTAAAGACACTCATTTTGCTACTAACTCTGGCAGATTAAGTGTTAAATTACCCTTTAAAGCTTCAACTGACTCACTACATGCCGAGTCGCGGAAAAGCTATCAATTAGCCAAAAACATGTTACTTAGAATGGAGACTCGTTTCAATTCAAATGTAAAATTGAAATCTTCTTATAGCTCATTTTTGAAAAAGTACCTTGATCTCAATCATATGAGCTTAGTTAGTTCAGATACTTCAGTACCCCGTTTGTACTTACCACATCATGGGGTTATAAAAGAAGCTAGTACTACCACAAAGCTTCGGGTAGTCATTAATGGCTCAGCCACTGTGGGCAAAAGCACATCTCTCAACGCTGTTTTACATGCAGGACAGAATCTGCTGCCAAACATTTTCGATTTACTTTTGAAATGGAGAAACTATAGATTCGTCTTTATTACTGATATTCAAAAGATGTTCCGACAAATTTTAATTCATCCTTCAGATAGACCATATCAATCCATACTTTGGCGGGAAAATCCTCAAGATGAGGTCAGTATTCATGAATTAAATACTGTCAATTATGGCCTAGTTAGTGCCCCTTTCTTAGCATCTAGAACTCTGAAGCAATTGGCTGAAAATTACAAATCAAAATTTCCTTTGGGTGCCTCTATTTTAGAGAATAAAGTCTATGTGGATGATTTCATCTCAGAAGTACACTCTTGTAAGGAAGCTAAGCAGAAAATATACCAGTTAATAGGTATCACTCAAAGAGGTTTGTCTTGAACTTTGTAAATGGACAAGTAACTGCTCTAAGTTACTCGAAAAAATCCCTTCAGAATATAAAAACGAAGAACAACTCATTCTATTAACCTCAGAAACTTACACCTCCATTTTAGGTTTAGTGTGGAAGCCTAATATTGATTCATTCTTTTTCAAGATTGAGACAGCACCACAAAATATTAAGTGGACCAAACTATCTATGTTGTCTCAACTTGCAAAGTTTTTCGACCCATTAGGTTGGCTATCCCCTACAATCATTAGAGCAAAAATTCTTATGCAAGCCACTTGGCTTTTAAAAATTTCGTGGGATGACCCATTACCATTAAAAATAGCTGATGATTGGATTAGGTGGTTAGATGGGACGAAATTATTAGGAAAAATTAATATTTCTCGTAGGAATCATTTTAGTCCTGACATTGAAAAGCTTGAACTTCACGGTTTTGCYGATGCTTCCAAGGAAGCTTATGCTGCAGTTCTATACTTGCGCATAATTGTTAAAAATCAAGTCCACATTCAATTGTTAACTTCAAAAACAAAAGTAGCACCAATCAAGATACTGAATATTCCTCGATTAGAGCTATGTGCTGCTTGTCTTCTAGCAGAGCTAGTTAAGCATTAAACATCTTTGACCTCTAATGACAAATTGGAGACTCATTCGTGGACTGATTCAAAAATAGTACTACAATGGCTCAATGACTTGCCTAGAAAGTGGCCAACATTTATTGCTAATAGGTGTTCTCATATTCTAACATCCGTTCCTGAAGCCTTATAACATCATATATCTTCTAAGGATAATCCAGCTGACATTGCGTCACGTGGAATTTATCCATCTCAATTATTAGAGTCTAGTCTTTTGTTTAATGGACCCAATATAATATAACAAAAAACTTGTAAATATCCTACTCTTAGTCTAGATTTAATGGAGAAGTCTCCTGAGGATCTTCAACCCTTAGTTATTCATACTACTCAAGCTGAACCAGTTAAAGCTTCGTGGGAACTATATTATCGGTATTCTGATTGGAATAAGGTGTTAAAAGTTACAGCTTGCTGTATTCGTTTTGTTTTTAAACTTATGCAAAAATCTCAAAGGTTTCAACCAGGTTTTGTTATTAACAACCTTCAATATTTTGACTTTACAGATACCATCAATGCTAATTATAAGCATTTAACAATGAGTGAGATAAACAATGCAAGAAATTACTGGATTTTTACTCATCAAAACCTGCATTTTGAAAATGAGATAAAGGCTCTCAAAAAATCAGAATCTGTTAGTAAAAACAGCAGTCTAGTTAAACTTAACCCCTTCTTGAAAAATGATATTCTTAGAGTTGGYGGAAGAATAGGCCAAGCTGAACTGATTGATGATTCTAAACATCCGTTAATACTCGGTCCCAATGATCACTTGACTAATATCATTGTCAGGTATTACCATAATTTRTTATTACATGCTGGTGTTCCATTAACACTATCAGCACTTAGACAGCACTATTGGATTATCATTGGCAGACAGGTTGTTAAAAGTATAACACATAAGTGTTTAAGGGTTCATTCTGGTTTATACGCCGAAAAAAAGGCATTTTTCACGATTTTTTTTAGGCTTTGTAGGATACATATACATATGAAAGTTGTTGGGAATGATAAATACACTCTAGAAGTACAAGAAAAAAATTTTTCTTATTGTTTTAAACGTTTTTTGACATCCAAAATGGCTGACAAACGTGAACCCTTCAAAAGTAGCTATGCTGTTGGCGGGCATCAAAATTTGAGAACAGGTGATCTGAAAACAAAAAAATTAAACGGTTTTAAATTCAGTATGACAATGGCTATCGGGTATGCTAAAACTATCAATTTTTATGAAAACAAAACAAAATGACGGCCATTTTTCGTGAAAAAAATCGTTGATTTTTTTCGCACTTTTTTGTAAAAAAAAAATAGTGAAAATTAATATTTTGACTTGGTTTTAGCATGCGAGATAGCCATTCATGTGCAGAATATGTGGTTAAAATTTCAGAAAGTTCGATTGAGTTGTTTCGAAGATATCATGCCCGCTAACCGAAAAAGCGTTGTTTCGAGAAAAACGCGTTTAAAGTTTCTTTTAACAAATTTTTAAAAAGTCTGACTTTACCTTATTCTGCGATGCCTGCACCATACAGTATGCCTTCTGCTTCTTCAAAATTCTTATTTCCTTCCACTATAGCCTTTTTTCGTTGTGTCCTGGCCTCTATGAAAGCTTCTCCGCTCAAACGATTGGCTGAGCGCACGCGCGTGTTGTCGCGGTTACTAGCGTAATTGACTGCGATAGGGCCAAGTTTTATCACCAAAATGTGCATTATTTTCAGTATTGGATCAAAACCTCCGTTGAATATACAAGCTGCCAATTTACAAGCTATTTTAAAAATTATTTTACAATTAAATAGGTGTTTAGGTACTATAGCCCAAACGCATTTGTTGAAGCACTCATTATTATTTTAAATGTGTGGCCACCTTACCATCTTTCAAGTAATTCTGTTCTTGTCAGGTCAATATCAACCTTTTGTTTTTTGCTGCTATATCCATGCAGAGACATTTCCTCTTACACAACCGTAGATGGTTTGTCTCCTCTATCTGTAATATCTCTATGTGTTTGGGTCGCAAAATAATATACTTAGACTGCTCGGATCGTTTTAAAATTTATGTATGATAATTCTACATATGTCTGCTTTCGAAAAATGATAAAAAAAAAATTAATTTTTTCAAAATGATAAACCAGAATGAACCCTTAAGATGTAGGAGATATGCAGCAGTTCCTCAGCATCAGTTAATGGGCGACTTACCATCAGTTCGTGTTCAAATTGAACCTGCATTCACCAAGACAGGTGTGGATTTAGCAGGTCCTTTTTCTATCCGTTTGTCCAAAAGTAGAGGAAAGGGCACGCAAAAGGGATATGTTATAGTTTTCACCTGTATGGTAACAAAAGCAGTTCATCTGGAAGTCGCAGAAGATTTCTCTTCTTCTGCTTATATTGCTGCATTTCCACTTTTTGACGCCCGTCGAGGGTCATGTACCGATCTTTATAGTGATCAAGGCACTAATTTTGTTGGCGCCAATACGAAGTTTAAACATAAGCTGAAGGAGTTTCTTACCTCTGACAGCCTTCATAACAAATTACTAAACTTGAGTGTAAATTGGCACTTTAATCCCCCAGCTGCTCCTCATTTTGGAGAACTCTGGGAAGTAGGTCCTTGTCCAAGTCCTTGAAATATCACTTAAAAAGAGTGATTATAGATCAGGTTCTAACCTTCATCGAGATGGCAACCTTACTTTGTCAGATAGAAGCGTGTCTGAATTCGCGTCCACTGGTACCTTTATCAGATGATCCATCTGACCTTCTAGTACTGACACCCTCTCATTTCATAAAAATGAAACCCTCGCGTATATTGGCTGAGACTTCTATTAGTAAAGATTCTCTCTCTCTTCTTAGAAGGTGGAGGTTTATAACTTTTAGCTTACAACATTTTTGGAAACAATGGTCTTCTGAATATTTAAACTCTTCGCAATCTTGTTACCAATGGGCTTTAAGGACTAGATCTATGCAAGAAGGTGATCTTGTGCTTATTAGAAATCAAAACTACCCTCCTGGCTATTGGCCTTTAGGCCGTATCATAAAGCCTTGCCGACTTGTATAGATGGACTTGTGCGATTTGTGAGAGTGAAAACGGCAACTACAGAATTAGATAGACCAATTACAAAGTTAGTATAGCTTTTGCCTAATAATGATTTAATTAATAATTTTGATGATGCGTTGAAACGTAGGTCTGATATTAATGTTAAGTAAAAATTTAGTAAACTAATTATTGTAAAATGTTGACCGAGGAAAAGAAACTCGTCATATGTCAAGATTAAATAATCTTTCATTTTTTGTCAATTTAAAAAGTTAATTTTCTTTATTTTATTTTTAATGATAGCCCTTAAAAAATTGATGATGATTTAAGTTCAAAGATATCATATTTATTGATACTGCATTCTTCTGTTTTCAAATTAATGTAAGATAACATATAAGAATTCTTAGTTTTCATTTTGTTTTACATTGATGCACCCGATGCTCCGCTGATGCATCAACCGGGTAAGTATGTTCAGGATTGACATATATTATTAATAAACCCCCACTTTTTGGGCTATGTAATAAGTGTGAGTGTGTCTGTAGTGGTATTGTCATTACAGCGCGTTTGTTAGTCAGGTGTGTCTGTGTTGCGCAGTCCACGGTATTGTCGCGGACTACTTGGTGCGGGTAATGTGTGTATTAATGTGCGAGTCTTTGGCTAGCGAGCTCATCGCGCTATGTGCGTCGCGCCGGCAGTCGCCTCTTGTATTGCCGAACTACTAGACGTATTACCTAACGTATTTAACTCAGCCCTAAATACTATACAGCTATCGCATTCAGCATTTTACCTTGATGGAACCAATTTCTTAAACATTAGTTTTCGTCAGCTACCTACACCCCGAGATCGATTCCGTTTCATAAGAACAGAATTATAAAAAGCAGGGAAGGTCTGTTGAAATTCGATCTATATTTATTATCTTCATTATCGATGCGATAATACTCATGCCTATAGTTTTTTTTAACAAAACGTGTAATATCTTCTCTATTTACAAATATTTTCAATTTATTGAAGAATTAGTATTAAATTCTTTATTTCGCAAATATTATAATAAATAACTATGAAATTCATAGAATTAATAGTAATTGTATTGTCTGAAATATTAAAAAAAAAGGATTACTAGATACATCAGAGAAAAAGAATTAGAGAATACTGTAGAATACATTAGGAGCAGGTAACAAATTCCATTCAAAAGCAAATAAATTACTGTCACGTTTCTATTTTGCTTCTTTATAAAATATATTTGATTCATAAAGACAAAATATGTCTATTAAATTTGATTTTTACATGTTTTAACAAAAAATAAACAATGATTTGTATTGAGCAAGGATTACAAGAGAATTATATTATTAATTATAATATTTACGTTATAAAGAAATTTACGGTAATTTTTTAATCAAATAAGAACATTTTTAACTCGCTGAAAATCATGCGTGAATTATGGGAGTTTACCACGGGTCCCAAATTCGAGACTCGTTGTGTACACATTTCGATAAGCTGAGAGAGCGATACGATTAAATGCATTTTTTGATTTTTTGTTGTTCAGATCTTGATTTAGACGAGAGTATTTAGAATGATAAGTCTGTGATCCAAAGAATAAAGACGAGATATGTTATAAATAATAAGGGTCTCGAAATGTGCCAGGCCATGCAGTTGTAAAAGCATATTTCGGAAAGATCTGTATTAATAAATCTCTTATTACATCTGTACCAGATCCTTTGTTTAGTCCAGCAGTATTTTCCATGTGTTTTTTGTAGCTTCTTTATTTCGTAATTCCTAAAATATTTGTTAGACTGCGCAAAAATAGATGAAAACGAGAAATTGAAAACCATCCTAAAAAAAAAATTTTATATCTGAATTTCAGGAAAAGGATATTCTATATTTACTTAGTTTACGACGAATTATATTTTCCTTAGTTAACATCCTACGATTTTAAGGACTATCAATGACTATCGAATTAATCATTCCTCTTTTATTGCTTATATTTGGAAATGTGTAGTTTTTATCTGCACTTTCACCCAGTAATCATACCGGTGACATTTGTTTTTTTAATTATTTTAATGGTAATGTTTTTTGTGCTTAAAAAACTTTTACTAATTTTTCAATAGAATAGAAATATTTTTAAATAGAAGAAACGGAACACGTGGCAAGAACAAATCTTATTTGCTAATATGTTCCAAATAAAAATACAATAATATAGCTTATTTTAGAGATATATAAAAAAAATTAAAAAATGGTAAAAAAAATTTAAATTAAAACAACGGAAATGAAAAATAGATTCTAGAATCGTCCTAATTCAAAACTCGATGAAACAAAAAAATACTACCAAAATTGTTATGGTATTTTTAAAGCATTTAAAGGTATTAGTTGCAACAACAATAAAATACTTATGTGTGCTTACCAATGATAAAGATACCTCAAATTCACAGAAAGACTATCATCTACCTTAGTTACACAAGAGGATATATTTATTTACTTAGGTTATAGGACGTCTTATCTTTTCGTCGACAAGCATTCTACATTTTCTTTTTCCATCTATGGCTATCGCACACATTCGGCACTATACCTTAATAGATACAATTTGATAGTGATAGTTTTTGATAGCTACCCCAATCCCAAGATCATAACAGCGTCTTTTGATATATTTATATTGTAACAATATTATAATAAATAAATCCTACATATAACTTACTCCGAAAACTGTGAATTCGTCTCAATCTCTCGAAACTTAGTTTTTTAAAGGTTTCACTTCTAACTCGTGTGATCTGCACACTTGATTTTATGATTTTTTTTTTATTAATTAAGTTTTACTGTATAATCTTATCAGGCATAAATCAAACTTTTGAACAGAAAGGCCAATTTCAGTCAGCTATCCTCGACTGTTTATTCAGTTTAATCGCAGCTTACCTTCGTATTTATCCGAGACAATAAAACCGTGACAATCTATCCGCATTCTGAGGATGGGCGTTGTCACGTTGACTGGGACCCACTAATTTTACAGATAACAACAACTAGTTTTCCTTTTTTTGAGAATAGCTGCTATTATGATAACACAGTTGATTAGTAATATAAAACATGAAATTAAAGATCATTAAAATTAAGTGTTAGATTATTAGTAGAACTACTATTAGAAATATTCTATTCGTGATTATAAAATGGGAAACAGATGCCTATAATACGAGCAAAAGCAATATATAAGAATTTAATTGTAATTTCTTATAATTTATCTTGAGACGTTTCGCCACGATTCGCCTACCCAAATTTTTCGTAGTGATATAAATCTAACTGTGCGAGACATAATTCCAGTAGCTTGCATGAATAACAATAGAAACAATTACATAAGTAGTACACATAAGAGATTAACTATTACTTTCATTACTTAATATTTCATATTGTATATTGAAATGAACTATTGAAAGAATTGTCCTTTTCCAGGAACATACCGGAACCATAAATTATCTGCTGGAGAGCCTATTTCCTAGAACAACGAATACCATTCTTCCTTCAGTGTCGCACGTGCCTGCTTGACTCCGAGGCCACGTATAGAATCCGACACTGAAATAAGATTTTTTGTTGTACACATATCCATTGCCCTAGGAATATTTACTTTTGAATAGAGCTCTTTCCTTTAACCAGTGTGGAAACGTAGTTAATGAATAAACAAATATCGAGGTAAAGAATTGAATATGAGACTCGTCATCCTTAAGACTAAAAGGTCTCATTAGCCGCCAACGTTCTCCAATTCTCTTACATGGAACCATTGGCTATCTCATAAATTTCACTGATGCATAGCCGTAAAGGCGCAACCAATCAAATAAAAAACTCTCCAAAGA